GGTCCTGTTATTGTCAAATAGATGATGTTGAGGGGAGGTGCAAATTATAGAACCTGTAATTATTTTCTATTAAGTTAGTAAAGTTCATTGAAAAAAAGGTAATGTAGCCACTGGCCTGAACATAGAAGGAATTATGTCCAGAACCAGATAGCATCAAGCTTAGGGCTGGAAGGAGGCAAAGGAATTAGCTTTGTGAAGTGAAAAATGAAAAAAAAAGTGTTCTAAACAGAGCTGAGTGATTTGTATCATTAATAAAATAGAGCCGAGGACTCATGACACTCTTGAGTTCTGTAGGGGACTTGGAAAAGAGTATGCAGTAATGAGAAATAAAGTCTAAGAAGGACCCAAGACAAATTTAAAATCAAGCAAATAAGATTACCTTTCACCTTGAGATAAGTGGAGAATCACTGATGGACTATAAGCAGTGAACTGGCCTAATGCAATTATGTTTAGACACAGTAGAGATTGTGAAAGAGGCAATTTGTAGAAATGTTAAAAGGCTGAGAAGTGGCCTAAATTTCATAAGCTACACTGAAAACATAGCAAACCAAATTAGTTAAAAACATAGTCTCACGGTCAAGAGAACTTGCTGACAGAATATGCAGTGTGAGAATGTGAAGAAGCAGGCATAGCAGATTTCATAATGGAACCACTAAATATATGGCAATGTCATTCATTCATGACAGGCGCTGGAAAAATGAGAGTCCCAGAAAAAGGAAAGGGTTTGCTGTACATTATGGTTGACAAAATACTGAAACAGAAAAGTGTTTGAGGTTTCACGACTGAAATAGACTTTGCAGATACAATTAAACTAAATACCATTCAGAAAGAAAGAATATCTTGGAGAATCTGCATACACTCATCGAAGAGGTTCAGAAAGGGAAGCATATGTTAGAAGGATATTAAATAGATCAAAAAGGAGATACGACAGATAAACAGAAGGCAGATACTCAAGTGAACTGAAATAAATCTAAAGATTGATAGAATCAAGCAAATAGGTGATTTCCTATGTCTCCTAGGAAGAAAACAGGCGTTGGTTTTAGGATTTTCAACCTTCAGAATAAATATATTTCTAATATTTTAAGCTTTAAAGTTTGCAATTTTTACATTAGTATTAGAAAAATATAACAGATATTATATGTTTTAAGGTCTGCAGGACATAGGTCAAAGATCTGGTAGATTGTGGCACACAGAGATGTCAAGCTCATGAGAGTGGGTGGGTGTTTTAGAGTGGAGCATTATTGACATAGAGGGGCATCAGATGCCATGATATTGGATGAGAATGTGAAATAAAGTGGCCCCTGTGCAGAACTCAGGGGAACCCCAATTCCAGAAATTGACATTAACAAACTGAAGAGTGAAGGCTGGCAGAGCATAGGTAGAATGTTTCTTAACTATGTAGATGTGGTTCATAATATCAAATGTTGCTAAGAGAAATTAACTAAAATGAGTTTAGATGAAATAAATATGCAGATATGTCAATGGGATTGAAAGGTGGTGTAGGGGAGAGATTAAAAAGAAAGAAAGAAAAAATCCACACATAATGATCAGGTCTTTGTAGGAAGGTTTATGACATTCTAATTTAAGTAGTATTGGAGAGGCAAAGACTACTCCTGAGACCATGGTCCATTGCCTTTTTACTGGGATCGGAGTAAAAATATGAATAATAAATAAAGGTAGGATGAAACATTAGAACTAAAGAACAATAATTCCTCACTCTCACCTTTCAAAATCCTTATGATGGCTTCTGTTTGGGTAAAGTTGTATGTATATAATAATGCATAAGTAGTTTATAGAGGCTTCTAATTTAAATATGCAAAGGAAAATGTGTTATGTTGTAAATGCATTGGCTACTTGTCTGGCAGCTATGACAAAATATATAATCAAAGCAGCATAAGGAAGTAAGAAAGGGTTATTTTGATTCACAGTTTAAGGGTGAAGTTCTTCATGGTGAGGAAGTTCCAGGGACAGGAGCCTGAGGCAGCTGATGGCAGTGCACCTCCAGTCAGGGAATATAGTGAGAGAGATGCTAATTCTCGGTGGCCTCTCTACTGTCTGTTCTGTCCAGGATCCCAGGCCATGCAATGCTACTGTCCACAGGCAAATGGGGTCTTCCCAACTTAGTTACCTATTTTAGAAACTATTTCATAAAATACCCTAGGGTATTGTTTCCACGATGATTCTAAATTCCATAAAGGTGATGAGTGAGATTAACCATCACCAATAGGAAAAGAAAATTGGAGAAATAACCGAGATAAAGTTCTAGAAAGAATAAAACACTTTAAAAGAACATGATTGCATTCTAGATGAGGTTAATCATGCTATGAAAAGCCACAGCACAGCAGACAAAGTTGCACTTGCACACATGCAAACACACACACACAGAAGATAAATCAGAAACCAAACGCATATGGAGTTTTATTAACCTTAAGAGGAAAACACAGCTTAAATAATAAGATAATCCTGAGCTAACTAAGTGATGAGAGTTTTATACGGATAACAAATGCACTGTCCTAGAAAATCAAGGTTGGTCAGTTCTTTATCAAACATATACCAACTCTCTTCTATGTACCAGGAGCTTTGTCAAATTAAAAAGGTAAAACATTAAAAGCAGAGGTTATGAGTGCCTCCATGTTTATTCTTTGGCTTAAAATTATGGTTGAAGATGATCTTAACCACATCTTAGTTGTATAAAGAAATATTTTAAAATAGATTTAAATGATACCACAAAAACACAAATACACACAAACACACACAGCATTTTAGATTATACAGAAGATAAGTAGTTGCCTAAAATACAGACAATTTTGCTTGCATGCAAAAAGCTGAGAAAATGTGTTTATATTCCCATCTTGATATTTATATAGATAAGAGAATATTAATGTGTGTATATGTATGTAGGAAACTTTGTATGACCACTATATATACACAAAATGAATAAATTGGTTAACTAATTTTTCTAATAGAAACTTAATCTTTTCTAAATTTTGTATTTAATCTATCCACATATTACATAAAAGGGAAAGTAACCTGTAAAATATACTGTCAAGCACCAGAGAGTCAATTGGTTTGTTCTGTAATTCCAGTAAAGTGCACTTGGGAGAAATGAAATGAAAGCATTTAGAAAGGTGGATGATAATGGGAGGATGTTGGCAGTGTGATCGGGAAAGCATCGGAGCGAAGCTAAAGAGAAGATTCAGTCACTTTCTAGCATGAAAAAATAGATAGTCATCAAAAGTTCAGTTTTTAGCCACTAGCAAAGGATTCACTGAATCTAAAAAACACAGTTGCAACATGTAAATAGGTGAATTTGAATTATAACAATTAAAGAAAATTAGAACCATCATTTAGATGGCTAATCAAAACTGTGAAACTATATAATTCATGGAACTTAGCTGTTTTTAGGTGCTGGGCTGAAGTCATAATATGAATTAAAAATAAACACAAATTAAAACAACCTCATTGAAAGTAAAAATGGGCATAGACATGCATAAATATATGCATCCATATCCCAGTATAATTCTATAGAAGCTGACCATGTCTCTTAACTACTGAAAAAAAAGCAATTTAAATATAATAGGTCCCTTATGACTAACACTATAAAAATTGAAAAAAGAAAATCTTTTAATGTTTTATAAAACCTTAACGAAAATATCCTTGTGACTGACCTCATGGTGCTAGTACTGTGAAATATTTTGTTTTCTAACTAGTAGCAGCTGAAATTCATTTTGTAAATTTTTCAAGTAACTGGTGAAAGCTATCCCTAAACTTAAAGTTTTTAGGGAGAAAAAAACATTTCTGTCACGTTAGTCTTGATGCTTTCAACAATGGCCTTTTGCACAGGAAGAGGAAGGGAGCAAGTGTCAGGAGTGCTATAATCAGATATGGTTTTTGAAAAAAAAGGAACCAGGAGAAAAAGCCCTTATCCCTGAGAAATAATGACCACAAACCCTGACTGGGCTCATGCCTGGAAGGAAGGCTTCAGATAATGAGCTGTAATCCAGAAGTACCTGCTCAGTTGTGTCAACGAGGTAGGTGACAAGATCGCCTTTAGCCTACTTGAATGTAACTTTTGTACTTTAAACTAGGTCAGATATATTATTTCAATCTAAAATAAGAACCCCTCAAGCAGGCACTATTCTGGAACAGGGCTTTTTGGAAGTACTTGGCATGTAGACATGCTCCTCATGGCTTGTGTAACCCTTTGGCAAGGATCAGCCTTCTCCTCCATTACCCACCGCTATCCAGTATCTCAAAATCAAGAATCTTCCCCAGTTTCTTCATAAGAGCTTTCGAGGTCTTCTTATTGTCTAGAAACCATAATAAGAGTCATTGTGAACCACATCCTGGGGGATAGTAATATTGGTTTGAATTTTAGGAGATATTTATTTTCGTGTGTGTATGTCAAAGACTCTACGGTTAAGAACTGATGCCAAGAGACAAAGGATTTAAAACCTGTAGATAATCACCACTGGATTTAATCTCCCTTGATTATTTTGCAGAGCCTTTGATATGTTCACAATGAATTTTAAATGTGATGTATCCACATAGCAGAATCACAGTTGCCTTCTTAGTCCACAGTGTCTTTCTTTCCTCCTCCTCCTCCTCCCCCTCATCTTCTCTTCTCTTCTCTTCTCTTCTCTTCTCTTCTCTTCTCTTCTCTTCTCTTCTCTTCTCTTCTCTTCTTTTTCACTGCATTAGGAGTTGCTGAGCATAGCTCTTCCCTAGAAAAAAGTTCTTCCTTATTGTGTTTCTTTTTATCCTTCCTTTCCTCCTTTACACATGGCTCCTCTTCTATTACCTGTTTGTTCTTCCCCCTTGGCAGTGTCCTCTTCCATCTCCTCATCCACTTCAAAATTAATTTTAATCTTGACTTTTTTGTTTTCAGTAATTTCATCCTCTTTATCTACCTCTTCTATTTTGCGGTTTTTAAGGAACAAGTTGGAAGTGAAAAGTCAGCAGAGTAATCTTAAGTCTTCACTTTCATGTTTGTATTTCTCTGCGTTTGCTAATGCTTCATTAATTTGTGTGTCAAATTTGTGCAGGAGCCATGATAATCTTCTCTGTATCATTCCAATTTTAGTATAGGTGTGTCAAAGTGAGCACATAAGTAATATTATAAATCCATTCTATTTTAGCAGGCATTAAAACATGAATAATATAATAGAAGATGTGTCTGTTTTAATGTGAATTGCTCTTATCTCACATTTCTACTATAGACTGAAATATCTTATTCCTTATTATTTAAATTCAATCCTAGGTTAATCAATTTTTTTCTAAGTTTTTATTCACACTAAATTTACCACATATTTTGCTTCTAAGTAATTTTTTATCTGGGCCCAAAGAAATATTTTCCTTATATGTGAAAAGTTATGATGCTGTAGACTCATTCAGATGCTCTCTTTTGCTTTACTAAATGACTTAAAAATAGAAAGATTCAAAGTGTCAAAAATAGTTCAGAAGCTAGTTCACAAAATAAAACACTTAAGGAATTACTGCCTTAAAGTAGAAGTGTATCTAAGAATCAGAATAACAGCGAGCATGGCATCATAACCCTAAGTGTGCAGCAGTGTGTGGTGCATACCTTGGTAGTAACCAATAACTCTCTAAATGAATTTAAGACCTGCTCACCATGCAGAAAACCATGTCTGATACTGGACACCTACCACAGGAATCTGAAGGTGAAGCCATGGATCTTAAAGAAGAACCTACCATACTCTTTTTACTAAGCCAGCATAATTCCTCACACTCTAAACATTTGTCCAAATACCCAAGTGTATAAAGAATATAAGTGAGAAACAAGTGTAGTTTTCACTCTTCACCAAAGACACTTTTCTATGCAACAGACAGAGACCAGTGTAGAAAACCACAATAAGTAAATAAATGCAGTGTTGTGCAGTCTAGTTCCACTGGAAAAATATACAAAGCAACTCCAACACCTATGGCTCAGAGATCACTGAGGAAAGGGACAGGATGATGATAAAAGCTAGAGAAAGAAGGAGTTTGCTGTGATATTGTGTTTCCTAGGAGTGTTAGAAGATATACCCATAAAGTCTCACCAACATGACTGCCAAAGCATGAGCTTAAGAAGGACAACAATATACACTCCAAAATGGAATGGAGAAAGCATAGGCAGCCTCAACCCTCGACACAAAGAACTTCAGACAACTAAGGAATGCTTAGAGTAGGAAAGTAGAAATAGTTTTCCCCAGAGAAGACAATACCAGTTGATTAGCCAGTACAATATGATCAGCCCTGACAACATACATACAAATAACATTACACAGACTAAGCAGTATATACTTGCATACTTAGGGGTGTGTGTGTGTGTGTGTGTGTGTGTGTGTGTGTATGCCTTCCTGCACGTGTGTGTGAAAAATTAATTTTAAAAGGATATGAATTAGGAAGACAGCAAGAGGAATGGGAAAGGAACAAGATGTAATATATATTATAATTTCCAAAAGTAAAATAAACAATTTTAAAAGAGAAAAAAAAAGTCACTTAAAAAAATAGAGTTTTAGATTTCTGTCTTTTGGGTAGAAGTATTTGAATTTTATAGTAGTACCTCCTTTTCTTTTTCTGTGAAATTTATAGCACTTTTTAACAATTTGTCCTCACTCTCAATTAACTGATTAAGAACAACACATTCACTTATACTTAAGTAGAGGTCAACTTTTGCTCCTCTTTTGTTCAACAACAAACAACAAAACTCCAAAGATACACTTTAACAAGTTTGTGGTTTTAGGCATCTATAGGTTTTCTACCATGTTTGGATCAACTTTTAGTGCACTGTGAATATGAGCGTGACTCTTTTTGAGTATATTTAAGAAGTACAAAATGACTAAAAATCATTACAGTGATTTCTTAACAAAATCTCAATTTAATGAGCGATTACTGTGACTATAATAATATTATTAATAACACAATGTACAACATTTTAAAATATCTTCACCAGGATATAAAAATCAAGATGCTTTTTTGTCTTTTGATCTGAAGTTGTGAAAGGTGTTCTGGCATCTTGTCACCGTGTTGAAAACAGTAGGGTTAACTAGAGGATGGATAAAAATATTTCATAATTTCCACGTACACAGTTTCCACCAGGGCACCATCAAAGTCAGATTTGACCCTGTGTCATCACTCTTTTAAAGACTCACTGAAAAGGGACAAAAATCCTCTAATAAATGGCCAGTTACTCGCAGTTGAACTCTTTGCCAGGTGGATCTCTGCTGTATAATGTAATGGAATCATATCAAACAGAACAAAGAATCCATAGCTAGACATACCTGTTTGCCAGTTCAAATACTTGGTTAGATTTATTTTCAGTTCCTTTCATGGAAAGGTGGAGAGATCTAGATGAAGCTGGCTAGTGCATTTTTAATTCCCTACATCTTTATTGTAATGCCAACACTATTTATGCCATTTTTATTTCTCCAGGTCCTTGTTGTGGTAGTGACAGCTGTTATGGCTGCTGGGGCCACTTTCCTTTATCGCTTTTCCATGACTAAAAGGGCATAAAACAGCTGTTGTTCCTTCTAAGACTGAAGAAGGGATCAGTTTTGGGAGGCACAGAAAGGGTTGGGACAGTATCTCTCCTTGAGGAAATGAGAGCATTTTTGTTCAAAAAGCTGAGAACCTGCTGGATGCTGTCTGTTAAGCTGCAATACCAGCACAAAATGAATTCATAGTAAGACTCTGCCCCACTACACAAAATAAATAATAAAATATAAAAGCTCACTACTTTCTTGAGTAAGTAATGACCCATTTCTCAAATGTAAATATTGCTGATTGCTTACAGCATTTAAGCACATGTTTTGAATGTGCATGTTTGAGGAATAGTGTTTGCTTCCCATAGTTCTGGAAGCATCAAAGTTTCTTTGTGCTCTGTCTCATATCTTTTCTGCACATATATTATACATGTCTCTACACACGTAAAGAGTATAAATGATCACTTGCAGGGTGGTATGATGGATCAAAGTACCAGATGACATTTTTGTACCCGGAATAATAATTTTTCTTACCATTCCAATATAAATCAGCTTTTGCTTGATATAAGTGAAATTTCATGCTTTGTACCATTTTATACTATTGATTTTCAGAGCCTGATCTCTCTTTGCTTTAGGGACATTCCACATCAATTGCAAACTGTCAACCGAGTTTCCAAAATATTGCGTTCTTTCATTGAATATATCATACAGAAACATCAGCTTGGGAAAATAATAGAGACTGTCGATTCTCTCCCTGCTTTGAGAGTTGCTGCAAACATGCTAGATTAAAATGGCTGTAGTAAAGTACATGTCTTTTCAACATTTTTTCCCATTGGATCACTATTGTTCAAATTTTTCAGAAGAGTTGCATTTAAAGTTCATTAAAACAAATATTCAAATTTTTTAGAGTTTTTTGCAGTGTATCCCATTAATACTTTCAGAATATCTTATGCCTCCCCATGTAGGTTTATTTACACATATTTTTCTTTGTGTAATGCATCACTTTGGAAATAAATTATATCCTCATACTGAGGCTGAGTGAACCGAATGTCATAGAATTGTGTGACTCGCTTATAAGATCATATCATGTACTCTGTAAAAAGAAGGACTGGAATCTACATCTGGACTTCTACCTACATAATGTTTTTCTATTCCATATTCTAGCTATTTTGTTCTCCTAATGCTTTTAATGATTATGAAAGGAAATAAGAAAAATGGAATTTATTATGGTCTCATTCTTAAAATTAATTTTTATATTTTGAACACAATAAAAAGTTGAATGCATTATTTTTAGGATTTCAATAATACTAGAAATAAGCATACAAATAGCCAGCTTACTTTTTCACAAAGTTCATAAAAATATGCAATACTTGGTGTTATTTACAGTCACAACAAGGAAGCAAATGTTAAATCTTTTTCTATAGTAAATAATGCCTGAAAATATTTTAAAGTATTATATGTAAGACCTTGAACTATGAAGCTTTTAGAAGATAAGGAAAATTCTTTGGGATACTGTAATTGGTAAGATTCAGGATTTTTAAAATAAGTCCCTAAAATAGTGGTTCTCAGTCTTCCTAATTCTTCAGCCCTTTATTACAGCTTCTCATGTTGTGATGAGCCCCAACCATAAAATTATTTTGGTTCTATTTCATAGCTTTAATTTTACTACAGTTATAAATTGTAATTTAAATAGTTAATAAGCAACTTCCAAGGTGGTCAAGTACCACAGGTTGAGAATTACTACTCTAAGATCACAGCAAAGAAAACAAAAATAGACACATGAAATTACATAAAACAATTTCAACATATTGAAGGGGATGACAGACAGAGTACCATGCTTCCAGTGGATGAGAGAAAATAATGAATTGATATTGAAAATATGTAAAGAACTCTTAATCTTAGAGAGCCAAGTAAAAAAATAGACAAAAGATTTAAACAATCAGTTCTTAAAACCAGATATACAGATGATCCACAAAAATTTAAAATCTATGGAATATCACAAATCATAAGGGAAATGTGAATCAAGGTCACAATAAAATATTATCACAGCCTATAAAGCATGACTCTTATCACACAAATAAAAGATAAAAGCAACTATAAGAATGCAGAAAAACAGAGACCATTGCCTAATGTTGGTGAGAATATGCATCAGTTGAACTTTCATTGAAAACATATATTAAAACTAGAAGCAACATAGGAATCACTAAGGCAAGTAATGGTATGGATTTGAAGTGTGTCACATTGTACTCCCACTTGCCCTGTAGGGTGTTTATAATACTAAGAAATGGAAACCATAGTGCTCAGTAGCTAATGGATGACCAAAGAAATCTGTGCATGTTCACAGTGGATTCCTCACTTTTTCTTTCACCATTTATGATTAATAAAATGTAATACAAACTCTATAAAATGAAATTCTTCTGGATTTCTCCTTAGAAGTTCAGGAGATCACTTTTTGAATTCCAGTGAAGTCATATATTCAAAGAGAAATACATACATAAAAACTGGGACAATATATTAAAATAATTTTGGAGAGCCAATAGCATATGTCTATATATAGAGTAAATATCGTGTCTGTGTACATGCAGAGAGATTCAGATCAGTTTGTCGCTTCAGGTTATGGTTTC